GATTTACTCAGTTGGTAAGTGTAAGAGCATAAGTTTAAATTTAAAAGGCATCATTTTATATGCAAAAAATGCTAAAAGTTAGGACGATATCTAATCTTTCCCATCCAACCTAGATAGTAGGGACCAAGATTAGGTAATGACCTAACATAATTGTTTGCTTGAATATTTAAGAAAAGAATAGCTAAAAGTTTGTTAATGTATAATTTTATCTTATTGTTGTTGCTTTGAACTATATGGGTGTTTGAGTGTGAAAGGGAGAATACTATTGTTTACGGTCATGGGGCAACACTGGCTACGTCCTCCCCTGTACTTCTCTATCTTCCATTTGATTATGGCTAATAAAATCTAAAGGTGGTCATGATTCATCGCCCCTCCACTTTGAATAATATTTGGGGCTAAAAAACAGAATAAATACAGCTAGTACCCTTGGCTAAACCACCTTTGAAATATAAACAAAGGAATGTATACGCGAAGAGAGAAAATTCTAATTATGCTTTGGGTTTTATTTTACTTCATTCCATAACTTATCCCCATCTGCATGACAAACAAACAAAATAAAATCAAGAGTACACCAAAATTTACGGTCTAAATCATTTGCATTCCATTTCTACACTTTTTTCACCGGTGCAAATAAAATTGGACTACAAACAAACTAGGAACAATTGGGTCAAAGTCATACATATAGGGCATCGTATATACTGATGACTAAAAAAACAACTTTTGCAAGATCTAACTAGCTATAAAGTTGTGGACGCTAAAATAGTCCCGTTCAAACCAAGAACTCACTAGTTTTTTCATAAGACTTTTCTTCCCACTAGAGCCTTTGAAAAGTGAGATCAAAATTCTCTCTTTCTCTCTGCATGCCTTAATAATTAATAATATATATAAACTTCTAAACATAAATATTAAAAAAAAAAACATTCCATTAAAGCAGCTACAAATACAATAGTGAATCACATTGCAATAGGTGGTCGTGCCCACAAATTTATATGTTTCTAAGTATCCAATTTCAAATGAGTCGCATTAAATTCTTTTAGACTAAGTTTGGTTTGAAGGAAAAGGTAGGGAAATGAAGGGAACGATAAGGAAACTTATACAAGATTTATAAAAAAGTATCCAGTCCCTACCTTTTCCTTCATTTCCCTAATTTTTCCTTCTAACCAAACATGGCCTTAGTGTTTATAATTCAAAGCTAAGCACTTTGATTAAAATATTCAACAGAATGTGCTCTTGGTTGAACTTAAATGGATTCACATGGTATCTTCTCTGGCATGCAACTGACTCTCAGCAATCTTCCCCTCTCAAGCATTAAATAGAAAATCACAAATCAGAAGCAGAAGAAAGCAAGAAGCTCTTTCAATTTGAGACAATAATACCAGTATAAATTATTACTGAAAATGATTCAATGAGGCTGTCATAGCTTGCGGTCCCCTTCCTTCGAAACCTGCAGATGAAGCAAATTGAGCTCAGCGAACTTCACATTAATATCAATGCACAAGCTCTACCAAGCATCTTCATGATCAGCTATACTGGATAACTAAATTGAATCCTAACCGCTGAAGTCAATGCAAAAATAATTGAGTTGAGTAGCTACAGAGAGATGCAATCGGATGGGCTACGACAAGACGCTCCTCACAGCGCTCCACATGCACATCCAACCGTGCATTGGGAATACCTCCCCTACTTGTAATGGGAAGATATTCCCAATGCATGGTTGGATGTCATGTGGGGTGCGCATTGTGGGAAGCCCATGCAAATCCCAAAGAGACAGAGGAAGCAAAGCCCACTTTTATGTTCTCTTTCTTTTCTTTTGAGCCCATTTTCTATGTTGTCTGGACCAGAAATAAAAAATGGTAGGTAATGATGGATGCTCTTCAACTAGAGATAATTGTGAAGGGTTGGGTTGATGCCTTTGGCTAGAGGTGTAGGTGTTAAGTCTTCTCCAATAATCTAACACTTACAAAGTGACTGACTCCTCACATGGTGATGGTGAGGAGCTCCTGGTCGAATCAAATTCCTTAATTACTTCCCAAGAAATTTTGATTTACTTTAAGCACATGGATTTATAAAAGCAAGGAATTGGAATTATCCCTTGCTTCCCTTAGTTGCTAATCCACTAATCTTAACAAGATATAAAACATTTTATGAAAATCACATGCACAAAATAGTTTATCCGCATAGAGAATCATGGACCATGTATGAATTGTGCTTAGCATGCGCCCTCATATCTAATTAAATTAACCACATTGACCCCAAAAAAAATAAAATATGACACAATAAGATAATTAGTTACCATATTAATAAGCTTAAGCTTATATTTTATAAACTACTTTTCTTGCGTGAATACGTGACACGTGCAGATAAGCTCTCTGCTGGCAATTCACATTATCACATGGTCTATAGAATTGCAGACAGAGAATAGGTTATGCAGAGAAATAAGAGGAAGAAGAAGAAGAAAGGAGGAAGAAAAAAAAGTTAATTGAATCCAAATGGAGATTCTCCGTTACAGTATTATTGGGGTTCGGATCTGGAAAAAAAAAAAAACTCAAGACACAAGAACAAACAAAGTGGCCTCATCAATTTTAGTTGTAGATAGATAAATAGAGAGAGAGAATTAAAAAATAAAAAAATAACTAACGGGTTAGGGCTTGTAGTGGGTGCATATGGATAGTAATCATTGACCCGACCCAAAAACCTGTTTTGCTCAATTAGTAATACAAATGAAAATGACAACCAACCAAACAACCACCAGACCAAACTGCTAGTGGTGCTCCCTTGTCGTTGGGATTTTGACTCTATCCCGGTTTTCCAGGCTCAAAGTATCATCTGTCTGGCTGTCCCAAAATGGACCCAAAATAAATACTGAGGAATCCAATTACAGTTTGACTTTCCTGTCCATGGGTTAAAACGAATCAACCCGGAGATTAATGGCTTAGTTCAGGTCAGATCGGTTGCTATGTAGGTTGTTGGCAGGTCCATATCCATTGTCAACACCAACCCGTACAGATACAAATGGCATGAATAATTCACTGACCCGGACCATCTAAACGGTGGACCAATTCTCATATGGAAAGGAAACTCAACCCTCAACAAAAATTGAAGTTAAAACAGAAAAAGACAATTGGGCTGGGCATCTTTGGGAAGCAAATAATTCAGTTGAAGCTTGGCCCACAACTAAACTTCCAAAAATTACGACAGGGAAATCAGATGACCGCTCAAACGAGTCCACATGTTTTTTTTTCTATGTCATCTTCCATCATTGGAAAAAAGATTCCGTTCATCCATAATTCTTTGCCATGTGGCAAATTGTGATATCATAACCTAAAAGCTTGTTTGGTTTGTGAGAATAGGGGTATTGAATCGGAATTGGAATGATTCATTCTAACACCAACAGTTTGATTGGGTAGAATCAGAGTCTCATTCCCATTACTGCTGGAATGACATTCCCCCATTTGAGGGAATGACCAAATCCTATTTCGACTTATTTCAATTCTGATTTCCATTCCTGTCATACATTGATTATAAAAATAGGCCATTTTAATTCCAATTCCAATTTCAATACAAACCAAACGACCCTAAATTAGCAACTTTACCATTTATCCTTTCTCTCCTTCTAAAGCTAGGATGAAAAATTGAAAACAAGTTCTCTATCCGCTATGGTTCTGAGAATTCACATTAGGGGACTACTTTTCAAATGGAGGGTGTGAATTTGCCATGTAAGCCCTTATTGAACACAACAAAATAGAATGCGACTCTCCAAGGTAAGGGAGCAGAGGGAATCATCGAGGATCTCAGCCCGTGAACGTTCAACGATTGGCGTCTAGGGATGATAAGATGTGTGGTCAAGTGACGCGTCCCCACGTTATACCCTTGCAAGATCATGGATCAATTGATCAAGTTGAATTCAGGGACTATACACCGTAGAATCTTCCTCTAAAATATCATTTCTTTGATCCACTGATCACGTGCTTTTGTTCCTCTAATCTTCTCCTCCTTTGGACTTTGGGGGCCCATAAGACTCTACATTCTCAACTGCATACGTGGCCCATGTGCCATATGATGCATATTTAATGTTGAAAACAACCAGTGAATCAGATCATATGGCTGTCACCATCTCATCCCCACAACTTATTTTCTATTCTCATTCTTGCCCTCCATCATAACTTATTTGATCACATATTCGCATCCGATCGCTCAAAAATCAATTACTCCCGTTGAAGTAGTCCTATGCTAAAACCGTGAATCACGGCTCTTAATGGTCCCACCTTGAATTGGATGAAGTGATGTAAGGTGGGGCCACAATGAGATCTCTTGTGCCGTTGTGCGTATACACGCGAGGGAGAGAAAACTTTATATTGTTTTATTGATGAAAATTTTTAAAATACAATATATAATATTAGATAATAAAAAGATAAAAAAGGAGATTGTGTTGCAAAGAATACTATAATGGTGAAAAAAGACAAAAGAAAAGAAAATTTAATGAAAAGAATGCTCGTCGAGAAAATGGTAAAGTGAGATTGAATTCAGATCAGACGGTTGAAATCTTTTGTGCAAAAAACTTTGTTTGAGGGGTATGTTGGTCATTGTAATGGTAGTTAGGAGAGCCCCGTCTCCCGACTCGGCCACGTCAACAAGGTAATTTTAGTTTTCACTGCATCACCACGTGCTTGCTTGATTGGTCACTCACTGAAGTCACCATCACCAATCAACGTGTAATAAGCAACAAAATTCTATGCCTAAACAATATGAAACAAGATACAAGAGTAACGATTGAAGAATCTACTTCATGCACTGACCATAATACCCCTATCATTAACACTTCAACGGTACAACCCCATTGCCCCCAATCAATGCCTTAACCGTCGGGTGGGTCCGAAGGGCCCAAGACCTTGTTCTTGTGGCGTTTTCATCATAAGTTGAGTGGGCCAGCCGAGGGTAAATCCGAAGGCTCGGATTCCAACTTCTTCTTTTTTTATACTCGGCCTTTCCGACCGCAATACAAAGAGAAGCTGAAAGCTCTCTAGTCTTCTTTTTGAAGGGCAAACTGTCGGCAGCAGCCAGCAGCCAGCAGCAGCAGCTCTACAGTCTTCACTCTACGCATATATAATAGTACACACACGGAATCCAAAGACCACACTTTCAGACTTTCTTCGTTGTTCGTTCTCTCCCTCCATAGAAGACTCTTCACTCACTATAGACAGCGGTGTCGCCGCGCGACTCGTCTGACCCACAAAATGATGCACCACCGCCGCTCAGGCCAGTTTCTCGGCCTCCATTTCTTCTTCGTTGCCTTTGCCTCCCTGTCGGCCACTGGGCAACCAATCCATCAATTGTCTGACCTACATTGGCAACCCGCCACCGCTACCTGGTATGGAAGCCCCGAAGGCGATGGCAGCGATGGTAGGTCCCAGACTGCTGCTTAAAACTAATCGATTCCCATTACAGGAGCTGAGCTGAATCTAGTTTACTTCTGGAGACTCTATCTTATGCTAGCTCCAACTCTTTCTTTTCACCAATCCAACAATAGTAGTAACTCCTACTGCATCATCAACTAGTAATCCATAGCTGCTTACATTACATTGATGACTATACATGTCGATGCTTGCTTATTCTGTGGAGAGTTGATACATCTTGTCTCCATGTCTGTTACTGATTCACTGATGTATATATATGCATGTATGTATGCAGGTGGGGCATGCGGATACGGGTCACTGGTGGATGTGCGACCGTTAAAGGCGAGGGTAGGCGCCGTTAGTCCAATTTTGTTCAAGAACGGAGAGGGCTGCGGAGCTTGTTACAAGGTGAAGTGCCTCGATAGGGGCATATGCTCTAGGAGAGCCGTTACTATTATCGTAACGGACGAGTGTCCAGGTGGCTACTGCTCAAACGGGAGAACCCACTTCGACCTTAGCGGAGCTGCATTCGGTCGAATGGCCATCTCCGGGAATGGCGCGGCGCTCAGGAACCGAGGCGAGATCTCAGTCGTCTTCCGCCGGTAATTAATCCCGCGTCTTCTCTTCTCTCTTTTTTAACCTTTTTCTTTTTCAGTGAACTTCTGCTTTTTTACTTCGAATCCCCATTTAGTTCTGATTTGGTGATTTATCTTTCTAATCAACCTAGGTAACCGTCGTTGACTAATTTAAATTTACTAGGCTGTCCTTCAGTCTTCGGATTGGGCTTCGTGTATGTGAGGGTATTTTAGTCTTAAGGCCTTGGTAGACTTCTGTGACACTTTTAACCTTTTTGACCGAAAGTACCAGCTTAATTGGTTCTTTTCACACAGGTTGACCGCCGGTCGTTGCTTTATTTTGATGTTTTTCTAGGTTTCCAATTGAAGCTAATTCTTTATTATCGTTGCAGGACACCGTGTAAATACCCAGGGAAGAACATCGCTTTCCATGTGAACGAAGGCTCCACCGATTACTGGCTCTCCCTTCTGGTGGAGTTCGAAGATGGAGATGGAGACGTTGGATCCATGCATATAAGAGAAGTAAAATCCACATCTCTGCTGTTTCTGCTACACTTAAAAGTTAAAACAGTTATTTCATTAATTTGAAAGAGAAAACAGTTAATTCTGTTAGTAGGGTGTTTTTTATTGACTAACTTTGTTCTTTTTACATTAAGTACTGGCATGATGGAACAAATTTATTTTTTTAATATTAATTTTTTATAGATAAAAAGGTCGTTATATTAATTATCTTGTAAAAATTTACCGGGATAAATATAATGTAGTAAACATTTACTTGATTTATCCGGATAAGAAATTTGCAAATGAAAGGTAAAAAATCCTAATCTGACATAAAAAAAGCGACACTCCACATGTATGTGGCCCACGGCCCACACTCTTTGAAGTTTGAATTATGCTTTGGGTAATCCTGCTTCTCACGCATTATTTTGGGGGTATTGTTTGGCAGGCGAGCTCGACGGAGTGGCTAGAGATGAAGCATATATGGGGAGCAAATTGGTGTATTATTGGGGGGCCATTGAGAGGACCTTTCTCAGTCAAGCTCATGACACTGTCGACAGGTCGGACTCTCTCTGCGAGGGACGTCATTCCAAGGAACTGGTCTCCGAAGGCCACTTACACCTCACGCCTTAATTTCTACTAGCTCGTAATATTCCCCATTCCAAGGAACTGGACTCTCTCTGTTTACCTTTTTTTCTCAGGGAAAGAAGTAGCCGTTGTCGTCGGTTGTTTTCCCGGGAAAAGTAGCCGTTGGAGACTGGGAGTGCAAAGGCTGAAAGGCATCCGATGCTCCGCCTCCTCTTCTTCTTCTTGTGTTTTCTATTTTATTTGTATTTGTTTCTTTTTTTATCTTTGCCAAGTGTAAATGCTGTAGCCCCTCTCCAAAGGAGAGAGAGCGCTGTGTATTTGCTTGTGGGCCCTTTTTGTTTAAACAAATGGGTCAATTTGAAGAGTAAAGGCACGTGTTATCGCCATGGAGATAGTCCTGGGTCCGGCTCTGCCTTTGTAGCTTGTAATTTGATTGGAATCCTTTTCAAGTAACCGGAACTGCCGGAGTGAGTTGTTTAAATTTGTCCCTACAGGTGGGATCAATGTCATGGTCGATGGGAAGCATTCCTTAGCCTGATTGCATACTTAAAAAAATTACAAGTAGCCGCCTTTCCGAATGAGCATTAGCAATTCGCTGCCTCAATGTCTATGGGCAGGATTTATCCATTCTGAAAAAGCTGTCCATGGATTCCGAAAGTTTGATATCTATAATTTGATCATGAATCGGTTTATGTTAGAAGTTGCATCTGAACAAATGTGCAGATTTAATCCCATCTCATCTGATTAAAAATAGAAAAAGAATTATATAAATTTTATAATTGATAAATTTAATATTTTATATTTATATATATTTTTATAGATGTTTAAATTAAAAATAATTATTTTTATTTTTTATTTTTTTGTCATTTTAAACACAATAACTATGATATGGATTAAATCCAAATCCAGTTTAGATATCAAACTTTGGATGAGATTAAGATCCAAAAAATTTAATAATTGAATTGGATGCAGATATAGTTGGTTCCGCTCAAAATCCCTTTACAACCCTAATTCTGAATTAGTAGGAATTTCACAAAATCGATTTAGGGGTATTCATGTATGGTTTTGGTTTTCAAAAATCAAAACAAAAGCAACTGTCAAATCAGCTTGTGCTCAACTTCATTGATAAATGCATACTTCTCTTAAGGCTATTGTCATATGAATCCATGTTCATATTGGAGAGTTCATTTCACTACCTGGGCTGAATCAACTGAATCAAACACTTAATCTCCTTCTTATAATTAAAAGACCACACCTAGGTTTTTTGCATTCATTAACCAACATAAGGCTATGTTTGGTTATAGAGCAAATTTATTTGCACTAGTATAAAAACATGGGAGTGCAAATGTAAAAAATGCAAATTCTTGTTTAATTTTATTTTGGATTTTACTTTATTCTGCTTAATGTCTTAATTTACTTCATTTGTATTGCAATCAAACAAAATAAATTAAAATTTGAAATAAAATAGGTCAGAATTTATTTGTATTGCAACCAAACACAGCCTAAGGAATTTTGAATTGACTATGAAGTATGAACTTAAGGCTGTGTTTGGTTGCAATGCAAATAAATTTGCAATGATGCAAAACTATGGCAGTGCAAATGATTTGAGTGCAAATTCTGACATGTTTTTGTTTCAAATTTCAGCTTTTTTTTTTGTGTGTATGTGTGTGGATTGCAGTACAAATGAAGTAAATTAAGACATGATGCAGAATAAAGTAAAATCCAAAACAAAATTAAATAAGAATTTGCATTTTTTACATTTACACTCCCATGCATTTGTACTAGCGCAAATAAATTTGCACTACAACCAAATACAACCTAAAGCTCAATTTTGAAGGAGTACAAATACAAGTATATACAAAATGTAAGGTTTTGCATTTCACGTATTTGTATTTATACTATTTGTATTTGTACTTAGGCTCAATTTGGAAGGAGTATAAATATAAATTTGTTGAGTGCAAAACTTTATATTTTGTATTATTTTATATGTATTTATATAGTACATATTTGTATATTTGTATTTTCACTCCTTCCAAACTGAGCCTAACTAACTGATAAATAACAAATTAACAAGCAGGAACCATGGTTTGGATGCTCATGGTTTTGGTTCATGTCGAGTCTCGGTTCTACTGTAGATGGTGAACCTGTGAAATGAATCACAATGATGCCAGTGGGCTGCAGCTCAGGCCAGGACAAGGTCAGCCCAATTCCTTTGATCCGTAAGGAGCCCATCGAGTCATTCTACCTAAGCCGCCCAACCTGCTTAAAATTTCGTGGTTAGTTAGGGAAGAACACAAATTTGTATACATACATCCAAATAACTTTGAACCAATTTATTTAGACCTGACCCTGCGCTACCGTACATTGACTTTACTAAAATCTGTTCAAAATAATTGAATATTTTGTTGTTTTTTCTTGTTATTTAGGTTGTTTAATGTTTATATATATAATATGGAAATCTTATAAACTCTAATAATTTAAATTATTCTTATTAATTTCATTAAATGTGAGTTGTGGACCCGCCCTGCCCTGCCCTCAAATGTAAGGGGTAGAATCGGGGTAGGGTTTTGCATTTTCATGTGCAAGGTGAGTTTGGATTGTGAAAATCCAACCGTTATAAATTTTAGATAGAATACATATTAGGAGGTTTGTGCCTTGTGGAGACAGGAAGGGTCTGAAATTTATAAAACGCACTTGAACCCGTTCTGATGCCATCCCCTCACCTGTTTGGTTTTCAGTTGGAATCGGAATGGTTTATTGTTCTCATCTACTTGGTTTGGACAGGAATCATAATTAGTTGTAATGAGATTTTCATTCCGATAAGGGTGGAGGGAATGGCCATTCCCTCAAATGGGAAAATGTCATTCTGCCACAAATAGGATTCAAATTGCAATTTTGCTCAATCAAACAGTTGAACCATCACAATTTCAATTATAGACCATTATTACTTCAAACCAAATAGGTGTTTGGCGTCAATGTTGTTTCCTCATAAAACAACACCACACAAGAAATCCGTTTTTTAGGAAATTGTATACTGTCTACTTAGTCATTTTTCCCGTTTTTTCATAACATGCATTGGAAATTGGAAAAGGTGTAGTATGAGAAAATATCCTTTTTTGTATTTTCCCACTTTTTCTGTTGTTGCTAGTAGGGATGTCAATGGGTCGGGTTAATTGGTAAACCCAGCTTGACCTGACCCTATAGGGTTAGGGTCAATATATTTGGCTTTATGGTTGGGTTAGGATTTTGATTATTCAACCCAAGTTGGGTTCGGGTGTGGTTTGAGTTTTGGCTGGCCTGCCCTGTTTGGTCATGATACCATTCATATATACAAAGTATTATCGTAACTTTTTGACTTCTAACTCCATAGGTTTAAAGTTTAAGATTTATTTACATGGTGGTTTTGATTTTTTTTCTTTATTTAAATGGGGAAAGTGACATCTTAGATTCTATAAAACAAATTCTTAAATTAAATTAATGGATTTTAGGTCTTCAAAACATGTTAAAAAAATACAATTGAAATGCTACAGGTAAGGTCAATATTGGATGAAACGTTATAGGGTCGGGTCGAATTCGGGTTGAGACAAACCCGACATGGCATTAAAAAGGGCCTATGCGGTAATATACCAAAAGAACATGATATATATACACTAGCAGGGATCTGTGTTAAATTTAGTTTTATTAATAATTTGTAGTAATTTTAATAATTTTTATTCTTTTTATTGTTTTTAAATGAAAATTTTGATTAACTTTAAATAAATAAAAATAATTATAAAAACTAACATTTTTATTAATTCCACTAATAATTAACAATTATATAGGAATGACAACTGGGGTGGATTCAGGGCAGGGTACCCTATCCCTTTCCCTGCCCCATAGTCAAGACACTTTACCCCATCCCTGCCCTGTCCCTAGTGTCAAGCGGGCTTAGGGCAAGGTAACCACTACTCAATGTCGAGCAAGTTTAGGGGCAAGGCACCCCACTCCTCATCAAGGATGGACAATCATTGAATTTCCCTGCCCCATCCCCAGTATTGGGCGGGTTCAAGTTGAGGTGTAAATTGGGTTGTTGTGGGTTGGCACGACACGACCCGCATGTGGCCCGCACAAAGTGCAAGTCGTGACATGCTGGCCCACGTAGCGTTTTGGGCCATGCCTCCCTCCTCTAGGATAATTTGGGGGTTGGTTTGGCACGGTCCGCAGCCCGAGCCCACACGGGCCTGTGCCGTGCCATGGGTTGGGCTATGCCTTGGGCCAGGCCAGGCCGCACACCAAGCCAAGCTCAAGACAAGGCACCCACTCCCCGTCCAAGGTTTTTAAAATTGGACCGGATAGGGAACCATTTTGGGGTTGAACGGTTCGACTATTCGATCCAAACGGATGACCTGCTTTGACAAAAAAGAAAGAAAAACAAAAAAAGGACAAAAACTGTTGTACAGGTTGATGGTTCGATCGCCTAGGTCAGCAGTTCGCTAACCAAATAAATAGTTTTTGGAGAAAAAGCGGTTTTGAGGTAAAACGGTGTTCGATTTCCAAATTATTCGGTCTAACCATCTAGCTTGATCTAGTTTTGAAAATACTGTCCCCGTCAACCCAATATTCAATTTGATGATAGAAATGATCAAAATGATATATTGAGTATCAACCACATGGTAAATTTCTATTATTGTTAATTGAAAGATTTAATAAATTTCCATTCAATTGGACCTCAATCCCCCTCCCCGACCCCAACCTTGATCGGGGATTCCTATTAATCCTTATCCCCGCCCTCGCCCCACCAAAACAATCCCCGTCCCTAGCCCCATTGGGTCGGGGAAGTCAGATTCCCATCGGGAAAGGGGAAATTGTCATCCCTAAAAGTGTATTTTAATAAATGACCCTAATACAAACAAATAAGAGTATACAATTGTTTGTATTTTTAACTTTTTAAATAATTATTCATATTTTATTTACATGATGATTTTGATTTATTTTTGGGAAAAGTAACATCTTACATTCTATAAAACAATTTCTTAAATTAAATTAATGGATTTTAGATCTTCAAAACATGCTAAAAAAATACAATTGAAATGCTAAAGGTAAGGTCGGGTCAAGATTGGATTAAACGTTATAGGGTCGGGTCGGGTTCGGGTTGAGACAAACCCGACGTGGCATTAAAAACGGCCTATGCGGCAATATGCTAAAAAACACGATATATATAAATCGACATCAGCACGTCTCTTGGCATTGGTTGCAAACACCGCCCAAATGAACCATGTTATGATCCATATTCGACAGTTTTGAGACGGACTTTGGAATGGATTCGGATAATCTAACCCTCTGAATCATGCATAGCAATTAGCAAACATGGAAGCTTTAAATTTAAACAGCAATTATAATGCGTGCACCAATAGATAAGTCGTGAACTCGTGAAGTTCAAGCAAAAATCTGCAGAGCCTAACGGGCAACAAATGAGTGTTTTTTGTTTGTTAATCATGCTCAGACCGTCGGCGGTCGGACGGTCGTGGCCATGGAACCTCAAAACAAAGTTCCGAAAAGAAAGAAATTGGGGCAATAATGATTATTGATATAATGATAATATCTGTCGTCTACACCACAGTCTCCTGTTGATATATCCGTCCAGTCAATCATGATCGTCTATTTTGTTCACCCTTGGAGATCCTTTATCTAAAAGCGGGACCCGCAAGACATTCAACAATGGCCATGGACAACCGAGTGCAAGTAGACCTTACACACATGAAGATTTCTCTATCTCCTCACCACTTTTAAGCGGGAAGCGATCTGACAACTAACGCGAACGTCGTACCTAATACTGTCAACAATTCCTATCCCCCCGCCATGGATCTCTTAATCTGAAGGCTCGAGCTGGGGAAAAGTGGAGAAACAAAGAAAAACTGAAAAAGGAAAATAAAAAAAGAAATATCTGTAGAGTATGGATCGGATGCTGAAAGCTGCAAGATCTTCAGGTTCTCTTAATCTATCAAATCGCTCGCTCAGGTGAGTCCTTTTTTCAATGGAAATTCTGTAATGTTTTCCAAAATTTTCTCATTTCCATGATTCCATCAGAGACCTCTGCGCACAATTTCCTTATTTCTTTCTTTTTTCTTTTTTTCTTTTGGAGTCAGTTATTTATTTATTTGTTTGGAGTCAGAGTTAATTGACTGAAGATTGGACTATTCAGTGGAAGAAAAATGACATTTTGTGTGTTTAAGTTGCCATCACAGAGTTTAATTGTTGGTGGAACATACATCACACAACATGTTTCTGATTTGTTGTTTTATGTAATTTTACATTGAAGCACATATTCAGCGGGAAACCAGGACCTCAGTTATTTTTATCGTTATTATTATATTTTTTTGGTAACGACCTAAGTTGGATTTGTGTTATTTGCATTTCTCAATGCTCAACCAAGACTAGGCCAAGCCCAATGCAATTCACGGATTAAAACATAATGTTATCTCCTAACTGAACCTCATAAAACAGTGGACCTCGTTACTATTGGATCTCAAATAACTATCAAGAATGTAGTTTTCTTTGGACTAATTCCAGAAGTATTTTCAGCAAGAACAGTTCACCACTTAATCTAGGTAAAAGTTATTCAAATTAGTCAATATCGTTAATGCATTCATTCATTTGTGTTTTTGCCTAATTGACACAATTTATATGATAAATTTATTTTCCACGGTTCTTTATTGATCATGAAGGCGCCATCACTATCTCAACAATAGTATCATCTTGGGCTGACGAGTGTGAGAGTGCGGGTTTGAGTCTTGACCGTCTGAGAACAGGCACTTTGTGCCAAAAATTCCGGAGTTAGGTCTGTATCCAGTCCACTCCTTCCATGCCCCTGGATAGCTGAGAACAGCAGTTGTTAATGGCCCTTTTATATAAATCATCTACAGCACCCATTAGAAGTAATCTGTTACAAGTTGAAGTGGCTAGAAGGGCTAGGGCAGACCAAAAGGGGACCAAAAAGGGCATTGCACTGAACAGATTGGAATGGTGAAACAGGATTCATGTAGCTGACCCCATATAGTTGGGATAAGGATTAGATGATGGTTATTGTTAGCATCTCCAGAGTGTTAAATCTCTTTTCCTTTTAAATTAGTTGTGGTTCATCAGAAGGAAACACTATTTACTATTATTGGCTTTTCATCTTGTTGTTTCCTTATTTGCTTCAGGGAGGTTCCTGATGAGGTTTATCAAATTCTAGATGCAGTAAGGGAAGATGAAAAGTGGTGGGAGGTACTCTTCGTTGTTATTTTGTTTCTTCATTAACAGTCTCTGTGGAGTGCAATTTTCTTTCTTATATATAATAAAGCTTCATTGGATACCGGCCAATGAAAATGTTATTCTCTTGTTTTTAGGCTGCTGAGATGCAAAAGCTGATCTTGGCCCACAACAATATTGAAGTATTGAAAGAAGATGTAAAAAATTTATCCATGTTATCTGTCTTAAATATCAGTCACAACAGGCTTTCTCACCTTCCAGCTGCTATAGGAGAGTATGTGGTCTAAACCTCCTTGGATATTATCTTGTAGGATTACTGTTTCTAATACTATTTAATGGGCATGCTGATAAAAAAGTACTATTTAATGTGCATTTTGGAGATGTGTAGAATGATCATCTCGGTTCAATTTTTCTTAGCATTTAGAGTCATGGTCTAAAATGAAATCATTATTGTAATGTTAATAAAACTGAGAACAAGTTCTTGTGCCGAATCCTCATTGACATCATTTTTATTTTTTATTAGTAATTCATTTCTATTTTTATTAACTCATCCCTGTAATGAAACCATTCATATGATGCATTCCCACACTTCTTTCAAATGGTCAATTGGTAATTTCATTTGTTGAAATCTGATTTTTTTTTTTAAATTATTTATGACAGTCTTCCCATGCTGAAGTCACTAGATGTATCATTTAATTCAATACTCTGTATTCCTGAAGAGATTGGTTCAGCAACTGCTCTTGTCAAGTAAGTAATCTTTCTTGTTCTTTATGTCTTTGAATCGTTTAAGTGTGTATACATCGATGGCCATGTGTGGGGATACCTTATTTTATCTTTCTTTTTCCCTCTGCCTCTGTATAATATATAGATGTTCAATGAGTCACAACTTAGAAGCACTTCTTATTTGTACATAACTTTGTTTGCATGGAGAAACACTAAATTTTACAACATAGTATTTAGACAGAGATGTGTAATGAAGAAGAATAAGTTAGAAAATGGGATATAATGATATCTTACCTGATTGAAAATCTGAAACGTGAATGGAAGCTCTAAAACTAACTTTTGATGTTAATAGCTGGACCATTTTGTACTTTAAATAGATTGATGGATATCAGATATGAACTTGTGATTCTATTAGTAACTCTATGGTGTACATGTATCTGCTGTCATTTTCTGTTAATCAAAGCATGCGCTGTAACAGAAGGAAAAAAAGGGAATATATGCAGACAAGTGTTTATGTATGCATGTGTATGTTAACTGTTTGCCTATACCTCAATTCTCAAGTGTGTTACTGCATGCTTTGTACGAGCAAAATTGTCATTTTTAGTGTGCATGGATCCTCCTGAATACAATGTTTCCAGGAGATATCATTATGCCTTTAAGTAGGAATTTTCTTTAGTGTGACTTTCTGCCGATCTTTGCACTTTGCTTCCTTACATTACTGTGTTTTAGTCATTTTCTTCTATATTTGACTGTGTTTGGTTTTCCATTGAGATGATTCAGACTTGATTATTCAAACAATTTACTTAAAGACCTCCCAAACTCCCTTGGAAGCTGCTTGGATTTGTCAGAACTTAAGGTAAATATATTTTGAACCCTCTGGAAGCAGTATACTTTGTTAACTATAATTTTCTAATATTAAAAGTTATAACCATAATACCAGTGTGTCTGAATTCATTACTAATAAAAATGTGTGTCAATGCATATGCACATGCACAAAATAAGATTTGTCAATTGGGGAAGCTCTGTAGACAGCTCTATGCCTATCCAAACTGTCCATGAGATAAGGGACCATTTGGATTGGCAATGTATTTTTTCCTGTTTTTCATATCAGGGCACTCCTCCTTGGATCTGAGTTCTGCCCAAGAGATGATATCTGTTCAGATTTTAAACTCTTAATTTTAAAAATGTCCACAGAGAAGGGCTTATTTTTGAGACGCGGAAAGGTTTTTGATTTTTTTAGGAATGATTTCCTCATTACAAAGGGTGAGCCGATGAAGACAGGATTATATGAGATTCTTTTGGTCCCCAAACAACTTGCCATGTGGAAGATTCTTGGATGCTAGATTTTTTTCTAAAGTACCCGACTAATGACCTCTCCCCCTTCATGTACATGTCATTACCTTGAAATAATGATTTGATTAACAGCCTTCCATGATGTATGACATTATGTGATGGATTGATAAGTATGATCACATAACTATGCGGAATTTCAGCTTAGAAAATCTTTTGGGAGTAAAAACTAAGCTGAATTTCGGCCTAGTGATTACACCCAGTCATCCATGATGTATGCCATTATGTGATGGATTGATATGTATGATCACCTAACTAGGCTGAATTTCAGTTTAGAAAATCTTTTGGGAGTAATCACTGGGTGGGGCTTCCACACCTCTGCATGTGCTACAAAGACTATGGCTATCAATAGATGGTTATTTATGATCTCTGGTGTGCTAATATCATGTTAAACTTTTAAAGGCCAATTGTTATCATGGGATTTAATGCTTATTCTTGAGAATCTTCCATGTTCTAGGATGTTTAACTGTATTTTATCTTGTTCTGCAGGCATCCAACAATAGTATAACCAGATTGCCAGAAGATTTAGTGAACTGCTCAAAATTGATGAAACTGGACATGGAGGTGCCCAGTGTTACATTTAAAAAGTTGATTTGATATTTTTATTTTTACATCATAGTAATAATTATTGCTGCTTTTTATGGGGCTTCAAGTGTTTCATGGATCTTCTATTTACTTCAGGGAAACAAGCTAGCAGCAATACCTGAGAATCTTCTCTCATCATGGACCATTCTTTCAGAATTGAATGCTTGTAAGTTTCCATAGTCGTGCTGTTATCTCTATGAGGAATGAACAAATTCATTCCTGGACCTTCTTTTTGGGAATCATGAAGTTGTAGTTTCCTGTAATTTCAGCAAAAAATTTGCTTACCAGTATCCCAGAGAGTATTGGAACCCTTTCACGACTTATCCGCCTTGACTTTCATCAGAATAGTAAGTGAATCTAGTCACTCACTTTATAGATTTCATGAAGATTATGCTATTTATTTCTTGTCTAGCATGAGATGAAATTTCTGTAGATTTCCATGTTGTGGTTCCTTTTGGATTTATTGCTCTTTAAGATGTGCCAACACATTTTTGTATTTATGCGATTTTGCACAGGAATTTCATCAATTCCGTCATCAATCATGGGTTGCTGTTCCCTCAAAGAGTTTTATATGGGGTTGTTTTTAATGCCACTATCCATTACAATACCTTGGAGGGGTATTTTGTCATTCATAGTTTCATACTTTTTTTTTTCTTTTGTCATCTGAAATTTCAGAAACAATATGCTGTCTTCATTACCAGCTGAGATAGGGGCACTTTCCCTCTTAGGAACATTGGATCTCCACTCCAATCAGGTATTGCAAATTCTCCGTGTTTGTCTTTAAGTTTTCTTCTTTTCTTTGGAGAGACAATACATAGTATGCAAATAAAGTGATATTAAAAGTTAAAATTCAACGTTTCTATCCTTGAATTGAATTTTGAGAGTATTAAAGGCGTTCCTCATGCCCGTGGAAATTAAATCTGTCCTTTACCTTAATGTGTAATTTATTTTGATATAAATCATCCTCTTTTAGGAGGGGCTAGGCACACAACTCTATTACAAATGGGTGCCATCACAAAAGTTCTGGAATTCCCCAGAGGCCTGTGGGTATAGTAATTTTTTCTTGAAATGATATAATAAAAGTACAACAGGAAATTGGGAGGAGTCCCAGCTGGGCCATCCCCTAAGTTACAAATACAATCAAAGGTCCCATACACTCTTGGATAGCAGCTACATTGGTTGATAATGGAATTCTTTTCATAGCCAAGGCCTAAGGCCCAAGCCTCCCAACTACCTGCTGAATTAGCTCCTCCCTGCTATGCTTGTTGGTAAATATTCTCCTATTTCTCTTACTCCAAATTGTCCATACTATACCACCAGGGATCATCTCCCATAAAGCTTTGCCTTTCTTGCTGAGATCAAAGAGTGGCCAGGCCCGCAACAGGTCCATTAGAGACCGAGGCATTGTCCAGTTCAGATCTGCTTCTTTGATGAAGAGCAACCATACCTCCCTGACTGCATGGTGATGCATGGATAAGTGATTAGAACTTTCCATGTGCTGCCTGCAAAATGCACAGGTCTGGTCTTGGATTTGAATGCCTCTTCTAGGCAGGCTGTCCTTGGTTAAACACTTGCCAAGAGATGCAGACCACAGCAGGAAAACAATTTTTAGATGGAACAGATGGTCCCCACACCATTTTACTAGGGTAGGGTAGGGATGGCAATTTTCCCTGTAAAATCGGGGCCTGCCCTGCCCCACCCTGAATGGGGTGGGTTTTCCCTGAACTTGAACAGGGATGGGCTAGGGACGGGAAAAATATTTTTGCCCTGAATCGGGGATGGGGCGGGGACGGGGTTTGATATAATTCCCGCCCCAAATCCAATGGTAAATTAGTAAAATATCCCTAGATTTAAGATTAAATTTTAAAATATATATAAATTTCCCCAAATTCTTAAAATCCTAGGATCCCATAATTCCATTTCTAAAGTACCCCCAAATTGTCATAACCCAATTCCTAAAATACTCCCAAATTCTCATAATCCTATTTGTAAAATATCCACAAAATAGATTAATTTTAGGTGATTGCCTTGGGGCGAGGAAAATTTGGGGATTCTCCGTCCCCAATGGGGAGTGCGTGCCCCGCCCTGCCATTGGGGATAGGGTGGGGGCGAACCCGTTCCATTGCCATTCCTAGGGTAGGGAAAGTCTTTGGGAGTTCTTTGGTTCCTTGCACAGGAATTTACTGAGAAAATATCATTATCTTCCCATCTCCAGATGCAACTGAAAATTGATTACCGAGAATATAAAAAAAGAAGGGCATCCCAGTGCATGAGAATCCCGCCAATGCGGGGTCTGGGGAGGGACAGATGTACACAACCTTACCTTTGCACATATAGAGAGGTTGTTCCAAATAAAAAGAAAAGGAAATGGAAGGAATTTGGACCAAATAGTGGGTTTGCATGCATTAACCATTATGCATGGTGTAGATGGCATAATTAAAAAAGAGGCCATTACCCAATGCTAGTCCCAGGTATTTGGGATCTTGGGAGGGGTGGGTTGGATATGGACCTAACCTCCAACATTCTTAGCGCAAAGTGGCCACTTTCAAATTTGAACCCTTGGTCACACTTGCCAGTTCGAGATTTTACTATTGCACTAAGCAATGACATGATTAAATGAATAAAATATTAAGGAAAAGGGCATTTCTATAACTTTAGAGTAGATTTAAGGCTTAGTTATGGAGCTTCAAGCCTAGAAGATGTTGGGCACCTAACTTCACAGGGAAATAGAAGTTAGTCTAGGGTTTGTAGAGAGAAGAAAAGAAGAAGAGGAGAAAGAAGAAGAGAGAAGAGGAGAAAGAAGAAGAGAGAAGAAGAGAAAGACTATCAAATGAGGTGTGTGTTACTATTCACACCCTTAAACTTGTTATTTATGTTTTGAGGGAAAATTACAAGAAGGCCCTCACTTGGGAACCTAAATAGAAAAGATAATGAAAAGACCAAAAAATCCCTACCCAAACATTCTCAACAGCCCCCTCAAGCTGAGCATATATGTCAACCATGCCCAGCTTGACAAGGTTCTTAACAAACTTTGGATGGCGAACACCTTCAATGAGGCAATAAGCTAGTTGGTCATCTGACCTTACAAAAGGAAGGCAATCTCTCTGCTAACAATCATTTCTCTAATAAATTGTTTGTTTACCTCAATATGTTTTGTATGGTCATCATGAACAGGATTGTGAGCAATGTTTATGGTTGCTTGATTGTCACAATATAGTCTCATTGGAGTATCAACTTGTATGCCCATCTCAGTCAACAAGGTCTTCAACTGAAGGGATGAGAGATCCATCATATGGGCCGAACCCTGCAGGAAGGTGGGGCTAAATTTCAAAATTTTTTTTTTCTCCCATCTAGGAATCACTCCCTGTTTTAGAAAACCTACATTTTTCAAGGATCAATCTTGAACCAAGAACCGAACTAGATCTGAACCAAAACAGTAAGAGAGGGATATACCTGATACGAAGATGCAATATCTCCCAACGAAGGTGTTCACGCTCAAAGAAAGACACCAAAGACTGCTCCCACTGAAGATGACACAGTGAATGGTGGAGTGGAATCAGCAGGGTCCGTCCAACGAACCGAATTCTTCAGCAAGAATTCGATGGAGGCAGTGAGCATGACTTTTGATCAGCCTTTCTCCAAAGACTGATATCAAGACACCTCTTGATTGCTCCTACAAAGGAAGGAGATCGAACTGGCAGTATGGCGGCAACTGGAGAAAATCGCAGGGAGAAGATGGCGCAGTCACATTGTTGCTGTCTTCTCTCTGGGTGCTCTGAGAAGCTTGGGATGCTGAGGATGAATTGAATGGTTCGCCCCCTCCTCCTTTTATAGCCTTAAAGAGAGCTAATCTCATTAGGAGTTTCCTAATCCAAATCTGTATTTGGATAAGGAATTCTCTTTAAGAGATAAGGATAAGCCCTTATCTTATCTGCAGATTAGATCAGCTCTCTCCTAATCTCATTAGGAGGTTTCTAGATCTGAATTCAGATCTGGATTCTTTGAGTGGATAGGGTAAGACCCTATCCTATCTGCTGATTTATTCCCAGATCCGCCCCCTTTATTTAACTAGTCTAACTAGGCCAATTCGAAATGGGCTTTAGGCCCAATAAGTCTAAGTGCTCAAATTGCTTCCAACCTGTTGCCCAGTTGGGCTTCTTTGTATGGCGTGGGACCCAAACATTGATCTACACATCAGCCACATGGGTTCGGCCCAGCCTCTGTTACAAGGCCTGGTCGAATTCACTGAAAGGACAGTGAACCCTCTGAAGCCCATCACATGGACTCCTAATGGGCCCAACACTTACACTAAGTGGTCCCTGGGCCAAGCCACCTTATAAAAACCCAAGGACTGTGGGCAGATGCAAGATTAGCCCATCAGGTATTATCCTCAATAGTCTTACACTTAACCTCTCAGCCCTT